CAAATCAAGGCAGTCAAGGACACCAAACATGTACTGTGGCCTCCAATAATATTTCAGCCTTAAGTGACTTCAGATAAAGGGAGAAAAGAAGGTTTAAACCCTTTAAAATTTTATGCTTTCAAGTCAAGAAAGTTACAATGCGTAGCTAAGTACTTAGCTAGTTGAAATGACCTCTGAGCATTAACTGATTATTTTAATAATATGTGAATGCCCATTGCATGGCTTAAAAGGAAGAAAAAGGCACCCAAGGAAACACGGAATACTCTTCCCAACTTTAACTCCCAGAAAACTGTCGTAAAAATAAAAACAAGTGAGGGGGAGGGGAATAATTAGACTATTTTCCTGCTGTTTCAAGTGCTTCCTGTACATCTATCATGCTCCCTCTCCCATGCATAGGGACCAAGTAACCCAAGGTGTTTCACAGAGTATGCTGGCTAGTGTACCTTGTAATGATTCTTGTCTGCCTAATGCCTCTTGCAACAGGAAGACCAAGTAGTGGTTTTAATACTGTATCTGCATTTGACAGTCTTAGCTTGACAAGTGGATTTCCTGCTTATAGATCTGGTTCAAAGAAGTTGCTGCTATCCAGGTTAATCAACTTTTCTACTCCTGAAATAAAACATCTCTCAAGAGAAAAGGTTTGGACTTTCAAAGGAGCTTAAGATAATTAGACTCCCAAATCCTATTAGGTTTCAATGCAGCTGAAAACGTAACTCTTAAAATTATTTTTTTTTTAAATTTTAAAAATTGGAGCTGAGAAGTACAGACAGGAAGAAACCCTGCTGTTTCATGAAAATATGAAGAACAGGGGGAAAAATGATCAGCCTGACTTATCCTTCTAAAGTAACTGTTTTATTTTAAAGCTCATTTTGTTCTGACTTTTCCATATTCATTTTACAGTAATTAATTTTGCAGTTCATGTTCATTTATTAAATGGAATTAGGCAAAGAGACACACTGAATTTTTAGCAGAAAAGTACTTAAAGATTGCTTTTTCAGATCTGTAATGTTTAACCAATCTATTTATCACTTAATAAATATATGAAATAAATGATTCAAAATTTTAACTTCAAAGTTTAAAATGTTTATAGGTTATTTGTACATGTATGGAAGAAAGAGAGGTTATCATACAACTACATATGAATTACAATTTATTTACGTTACATGTGGTTTCAGCTAATTGTTTCCCTCTGTAGTTTTTTGTTATTAAAAAACAAGAACACACCTATGTCAAACAGAAGCATCCTAAAATCTTCAGGATAACTATATGCAGCCATCTGCCTTTACTGTGCCATAGGTATCTGTGCAATTGTTTACGACATTTGCACTTCATCATTCAAACTGACTCAACAGCCTGTTACAAGTATGTCTTGACAAACTAATCTGAGTGTCACATAACATACTTTGCACTACTGAGTTCCTCTCTGTGAGGAAAGAAATATCCATTGACTTTGTATTCAACACTACTGTTTTAATTTCTGCCTTTTCCATACAGGCAGGCAAAACAAGGACTTTTTTGATCTTTTTGTTTTAGAGAAACAATTCTTGTGACTTGAACCCTGCATTGACTGAGCTTCTCAAATAACATTTTGAAGAACTGCTATAAATCCAAGGAAATCAGAGGCTCCCAAGTTGTTCTTTTCACAATGATTCTTAAGTTTAGAGTTGATTTTCTGTTTTATTTTTTTGCTATAAATTCCAGACATGCCTTAGCTTACTAATTAACCACTAGAGAAAAGGAGCATGCCTGCAGTTCCCTGTACTAGAAGGGTCTGAACTCACTAACGAAGTGTCCCAATTACATTTTAATCAAAGTCCTTTTTCTCACTATTGTCATACACCCAGGCAAGCAAATAAAACCAAGTATTTTGAATTATGCTATTAACCTTCATTGAGGAATCTGAAAGATGGGACAAACAATGCCAGCAGAAGTAACATAAGCCTGAGCAAGACTTTGTTCATATTTAAAATTTCATTCACTCTGAGGAAGCAGAGCTTTCTATTTCACATTAAGTCAGATTTCAAGCCACATAAAAGCAGATGCACCCCTTGCCACAGACAAAGGATGCATGAGATCTGTCATGCTTGACTCTTACAGTTCAGATACAGCAGAGAGCTGGTCAAGTTTAACTTAGCAATGCCTCTGACAGCCAATGGTATGCTTATATATTTTCTCTTAAAACACTGAATACTTTCCTTTCTCCTTCTTCCAGCATGCAAGTATCATCCGTTTTATCAGTCCTGTAGACTAGCGGTCATGCTTGATTTCTTTTTTTCTTTCTCTTCCCCTCTCTTTATTAAGTCCATGAACAAGTCCTGTCATCTTTCACAAAGCATCAAAAAATCCCTTTCTACTTGTTCTGCCAGCTTAGGTTTATCTCTAATAATTTTCCACTCAATCTAGCAGAATTACTTCTTATCAGATCCTTTTGCATGAGACATGAAGATACTAAATAACCTCTCATTTTACTTATGCAGGCAATATTTCTGACCCTTCAATTACACCTATTGGGCTGTGCCATTCATTCCCAACCACCTCAGTACTTTCCTACAATTGCTTTGACAGAGTCCAACTCATAGTATCTTTCTTAGAAACCAGTAACTAAGACTAATTTGTGTCTGTTTGGGGGTTGAAGGTTTTTTGGGGTGGTTTTTTTGAGGGGTTTTGTTTTGTTGGGGTTTTTTGTTTGGTTTGGTTTTTTGTGGGTTTTGGGGTTTTGTTTGTTTGTCTTGGTTGGTTGGTTGGTTTTCTTTCTTTCTTAATACCAGGCTGTGGTCACCCTAGCATGTCTGTGGCATTCACTTGAGGCCATGAAACAGAACAGAACACCTACAAAAGTCCTATGCCCTCCTGCAGAGACAGCCAAAAGCAATATAGGGTGGACAAAGTAATATTGGGAAACGAAGGTCAGGAAATAAACTCAATCCTTTTCTCCTTGCTTTCGCCTTTTCTATGTTGTAGCTACACTTGCCAAAGAAATTTAACCATTAGACTGAAGACCTCAAAACTCCAGCCTTTACCTTCTACTTTCTCTACAAATTAGCAGGAAAATACACCACTGATTTTTAAGCGTCTGTTAAGCAAGTTTTCAAGTTTCAGCCATTTCCCTCTAATACACTTTATAGCTCCCATTTGAAGCACACATATAAAAATCCCCTAGTACAATTTTAGTGTTGTTCAGACTTAGATAATAAATCATTACTGGTTTATTTCAAAACAAATTAATAGAAATTTCTGCACAAATTTAAGGCTAGTGACACAGCTAAGGAACTTGCCTGCCTGACAGGAGTTTAATCAAAAGGTTGCAGCATCTTTAACATTATGTCTCTGGACTAGATCCAACAGGCCTCTCACTTTTTCTAGAAAGTGTTGCATGCAGATCAATATGCATGCGCTCTCCTTGAAAATTCTCTCACCCTCATACAGATGCCTACCAAATATTATGATTACCAAATATTTTTCATTTATCTAAATCACAACTTTTTTACTGTTGTGTTAGGCAATCTCTTCTACAAAGAGAACCTGTAGCAAAAACAGGCTCCTGCCAGAGGATGCACTAGATCAATCTGAATCACAAAGGCACAGGCCAACTGCTAAGGGCAGACAAATCTGCCATCTTGCAAAACATCTGGTGGCAAAACACCTCAGTATCCCTTCAAGTATGACGGGTTTTCAAGAGTCTAAGACAGAGCAAACCTTTCCATTCTCTCTTATAGAAAGATGGGGGTGGTACCAAGCAGAATCCAAAAAAACCTTTAGAATTTCAAAGGCTGCAGAAAAGCTACATAAACAGTCATACAATACATTGGAAGATCAGGGACAGCAGTCATACAATACACTGGGACACCAGACTTCTCCACTTCTGCTATGACATCTCTCGCTGTCAAGGGAGAAGGCTGAAAACAAAGGGCATACAGAGTCACTAGCATGAAAATAAACTGTTCAAGTGTGTGTTGGTGGCAGGAATGCACAGAAGTGGATTTAGAGGTACAAGGGGAATTAGAGGGAATGGAAGACCAGGTCACATGTAGTGTCATGGCCACAAAGGTCTCAATCACGGGAGAATTTTTCTTGTGCACATTACACTGAAGCATTACATAAGACACAGCAACATTACCATGTAGCTCTTCTCTTTCATGTAAAACATAATATGACAAACAGCACTTAGACCTCAGAAGAGACATTAAGGAACACTTAAAAACACACTACATAACTGAAATATTAACAAGATTTACATATGCAGACTGAAACAGCAGGGTACTGTGTTAAAATCTCCTACACTGAAGGCTGACTTAAATATTTATTTCACTGGGATTCAGGTAAGAAACCGGAAGAAACTGACTGGCAATGCTTTCATTGCTAAACAGACGTGTACGATTTTGACATTTGTAGTTTACAGTACAGACTACAAATGAATGAGTAATGTCGACGTTCCTAAAAGTATTAAAAAAACCCCACAGAAACGCATTTCCACAGTAGCCCTGCATTGGTTCCTCTGTAACTCAGCGACGAAGTGTCACGGGGAAGGCGTCTGAGCAGGACAACGACGTTTCCAGTCCCGTATCCAGGCGCTGGAGGCGGATCCCCGCCGCGGACTCCCCCGAGCGCAGCTCTAGCCCTTGGTGCCGGCTGTGCTGCAGGACGCCGGCGGCAGCTGCCGTTGAAGGGGCCCGCCCGCCGCTCTTATCGTCCGAGGGGCTGCAGGGCGTGTGTGGCGCAGATACACCGCGGAGCCAGGGAGCGCCCCTTCACCCCCGTGCCCCACCGGCGAGCCGAGTACCGTTAAAGAGTGTGCCCCGGGACCCCCGGAGGCTTTGGTCGCCTCCGGAGCCCGCCCGCGCCGCCCGGCGGGGGAGGAGCCGCCGGTGAGCCGCTGCGGCCACCGCCGCCAGAGCAACGCGGAGAGGGGGAGGCGGCGCGGCCGCCTGCGCCTCAAGTTGGCGGAGCGCCGGCGGGGGACGGGCAGACCCTTCCCGCCCACGAAGAACGCGCACACTCACCCGCCGAGCCTCCGGCGACGACTTGGTGAGAGGCCTCCTGCAGAAAGCCCCGGGGCTGCCGAGCCATCCTTACCCGCGCCGCGGCGGCGACGAGAGGGAGCTGGCGCCGGGAGAGCGGCTGCGAGACGGGCCCGATTCCGCGCTGGGCGGGAGGGGAAGAGCCTGAGGGGCCGCGGTTATCTGCGGGCGGGAGGGGGAGCCGCGAACGCCGGGGGCGGGGGCGCCGGGCTGCGGCCCCGCGGCGGCCTTTGGCAGCCGGCCCCGGGCAGAGGGCGGCCCCGGGCACTGCACGGGCTCGCGGCTACGGGCCGCCGCTTCCAGCCGGAAAGCGGCAGCCTCTCTCTCTTAGGGCACAGCCGGGACGGCCGGCGCTGCGATCGCCCAGGCTGGGGTGGGGAGCGAGGCTGTGGCACTGTCAGCCTGCTCAGGCTCGGGCCGTACACTCCCGCTTCGGAGCTGGTGCTATACAGCGCGCATCCTGCTCCCCATCGCTGCTGGGACCCAGATAACACCCCCAACATCCTCTGCTCCTGAGCTTCTAGGAAGGGTCGCTGGGATCACAGGCTGTCTTTTTGAAGACTACTGTCCTTTTAAAACCTTTAGTCTAAAGGTTTGATGTTCAAAGGACGCGGGTATTTTGTCGCTTGGAGAGTAACTATTACATGTATTACACGGACCTGTGGGCCCATCTTAGTAAACAAAACGGTGACAGGGCACGGGCTGCAAGTGGTGGGACATAGCGCCATTGCCGACAGCCTCCAGCAGTGCTTTCGGCAAGGCCAAGTTCTGCTTTTCCAGAAGATGCCCGAGTACAACGTGGGGGACAGCATGGGCTCATCCCAGAGGTAGCGCCATTCAAGGGCAAGACAGTTAATAGGGCTGTTCTGATACATTAATTTGCTGAGTGCCTGTTTGTGATAGTTTAGCCACAAATGTTGCTAACTAACTAGAGGTTCCAGCTTTGAAAGGAAATGTAGCTTTTTGTAACGTAGAACAAAGATTAGAGGAAAACAACGGGTTTATTTCTACTGAAGAGGACGGGAACGTAGGGAATATACAGAGAAATGTTAATAAAATGTTAAAAGACTGAGACCCTAATTGCAAAAAGGAATAATAGTCAGGTATAGCATTCAGTTATATCACTTGAATGCATCAGCAAATAAACAATAACATGGAGTTTTGATCTATATAGGGGCTGAGTGTGGATTGCTGTGGGAATACAGAATAACTCCCTTAAATTAATAAAACTTGAATGTGCTGACCTTTAAGTAATTAAAATCTCAACTTCAAAGTTTCATTAGCATTTGCCTTAGTTCCCTTCGTTTGGCTCCTTGATAATGCTGCTCAATAAATACTTCTGGATGATCAAGTCTCCAGTGTTCCCTATCATCAAAAAGCAGATGCTGAAGCATTACCACTTTTTTGTTCCAGAGATGTAAGTCTCCTTGTGCAATGTTCTCTTGGGTACAAATAGCAATTCTAGTGTTAAGGTGGACTTTGCTACAGTATTTTGACAGCAGAGAGAATTTGGAGTTCATCCAAGTGCAGAAACTGGTCAGATAGATTTGTTTTCTGCCTGTGTCCCTGCATCAAAGAGAATAACAGTCAGAATGCATGTAAGTTACATGGATGTTCACACAGTAGCATAACACCTGCTCCTTTAAAGAAAACAAACAACCTCTGCTATTGTTAGAAAACGATTAAGGTTGTTTCACGGTATTCAAACTCCAAATCTATGCCCCCTAATACAATTCCCCAACTGGAAGTCTCTTTGGCATATCTCCCTTATTTTCCATCCACCCCTCCCTCCTCCCCCACAAAGGGCAACCTCCCCACTATGCAGGTTTCCTAAAGCACTTCTAGGCTCAATCCTATTTCTATATGGCCTCTTCCGAAACCAGTACATGAGCGCCACTCCATTCTTATCCTCGATATCCGTGGTAGGGTCTGTCTCTCCACTTGTCCTTACTGCGTCCCTTGGTAGGGAATTCCGTCCATCCTGGGCAGCACCCCTGCGCTAACACCCGAGAAGGAAACCGCAACTGCCCGTGCGGGGGCAGGACGGGCAGGAGAGACCCCAAGAGCAGCGCAGCGCGGCCCCGCCGCACCGCCTGGTCCCGCCCCGGGCCCCGCCGCACCGCCTGGTCCCGCCCCCGGGCCCCGGCCCCGCCGCCTCGCCCCGCCCCGGGCCGCGGCCCCGCCGCTGCGCGCTCCCGAGGGCGGCGGGCGCGCGCGCCCCTCCCCCCGCCCGCCCGCGGCTTTGTTGCGGAGGCGGCGGCGGGGCCGGAGCGCGCAGGTAACGGGGCGGCGGGGCCGGGTCGGGGCCGCCCCGCGGCGCTCGGGTTGGAACTCGCCCCATCCTCTGCGGCGGGGCTCGGCGGCGGCGCGTCCCGGCGAGACGGCGTTAGGTCGGGCCGCTCTGCCCCCAGCGCCTCCCCGCGGGCAAGCGGCCCTGCCCGGCCTCCTCCGCCCCCGGGAGCGAGCCGCCGGGCCCTTGCGCCGCTGACCGGCTGCATGTGCCGTGGCAGCCCCTTGGCTGGGTTAATGTTACCTCCCGTGGCCGCCGGGCGACCCGGCTGGCCCGACTTACCTCCCGCTCCGCAGCTGGAGATAGGGGTTAGCAAGTTTGCCGTGCGGGGATGCGCGGTTTGGAGTCCCAGAGGCGGCGGCTTTGCGGGAAGGGAAGGGGCGGACTGGCTGCTGCCTCCCAGGAGGGGGGCAGCGCTGAGAAAGTGGCCGGGACAGTCCGAGATGAAACCTGCCCCGAACAAATTCAGGAGGTCGTTTCTGGATCTTTAGTGTCAGATGAGAACAAAGTGTGGAAGATGCTCAACATTGTAGTAATGCGTTAAAAAAAAAAAAATTAAAAAAAAAAAAGAGGAAAAAACTGCACCAAAAGACCTTGCCAAAATAAAGTTTGTGCTTTTTTTGAGTATTTATGACTTAAAGCTTCTTAGGAAATCCCAATGAACTGTATACCTCAGCTCCTGTTGTAATTCCTGCTAATCAGAATTCTTGATGATGATGTGAGGGTCTATTTCTTCTGAGGAAAAAGGCTATGGTTTCTCAGTGTGAAGAGTTTGGGAGAAAAACATTCAGTAAATGTACCCAAAGGACTGTTTTACCTGAGACAGCACACCTTCTGATGTTTGATCTTAGTCTGTGGAAAAACTACAGCTGGGTCTAGGTACAACTTCAGAGGGTTGAGGTGATTGGAGCTGGGTTGCTGTAAGAGTTTATGCGGCCAGAGTTTGGGAATTCAGAGTGTCCTGCAGCACTGTTGTTGCTTTTGAATATTCTAGCAAGTTCTAACTCCAGTTAGAACAGTCTTAAATTGCAATGCTTTAGCAGTGGAAGAAAAATCAGTTAACCACAGCAATGTGCTTTCTGGCTCAGAAGACCTCAGAGCTGCAACTCTTGGAGGTTCTAGGATCTGTGAGTTTTAGGGAAGTGCAATGATGTGCTTGCCTTGATCTTGTCCTTGAGCATCTGTGCTTGACCAGTTCTGCTCTGGGAATGTACAACTCTGGTTTAACTCGAAACCACTTGTTTTAGATTTTGTTTATTTAAATATGTTGTGGGGACTAGCTTATAAATCTCATAAGGTTTAACAAGAGTTAAAACTGTCATGCCAGTTAAACATGCTGCTTATGTGGTAGTTCTGTTTTATTTTGTAAATAATGTTGTAATTCATGACAAGGTTCTTCAGCTGTGTGAGATAGAGCTATGTACACCAGTGAGGTGCCATCAATTTGATGGCTGTGAGCTCTTCTGTCACTGGTAAAGGGATTAGCACTGATTTTGGGATCTTGAAAGTGATAAACTTGTCTTGCCTGTCCAGCTAAGTTACTGCAGTTCTGGTTGCAGTATGAAAAGTGAAGAGAGGGACTGGGACATGAAATTATGTATAGGATTTAAGAAGACAGGAACAGTTGGTGCTACTTTCTGTAGGTATTTCAGGTTTTCTTGCAATGATACTGCAAGTTCCTTACAGTTTGTAATGGTGACTACTGCCCAATAGTAGTGGGTAACAAAATAAATTTCAAAAATCTCTTCCCCAGTTTTCACATGATAACTAATTATATTTCTTGCCTTTTTGTTTGTTTGCTTTCTTTGTTTCTGGATTTACTTAATTTCTCTTTGAGTCATTAGTTTACCTGTTTGGGGTAAGGAAATGTTACTTTTCTTCACATCCTGTTAATCTATCTCCCTGCTTGTTAGAAGTAATTCTAGACGCTGCTAAATTAGAAATGCATTATAACAGTATTAAACTTATTCCCTGACCAGTAAGAAGCAAAACAAGGTTTTATTTCATGCTTAGTATTTCTCTTGTAGCAAGAAAAATCCAACACATTGTATTACTGGCAGAAATAGTATGATGCTGGTGCCACATGACCCACATCTTTGCTTTTTGAAGTTTGTGGGGGTTTTAGTTTCGGAGAGCACCTAGGTTAGTAAAAAAGTAAGGGAGTTTTGAGATCTTGCTAGAAGCGGTTAGGGGAGAAGGGAAAATACATGTTCAATAGTTCTCTAGGGAAAGAATCAACAAATTATTCATTAGAATTTAAAGCAAGAAGATACACATGATCTGAGGGTGAAGGGAAAGAACATCCTGCCTATACATCACAGATTTGTGTAAAATTAGTTGCGAACCTGAGAGATATCCTAATGGACCTTTATGCTACCTACTTTTTAGTCTGCCAAACATAGGGCAGAACAGATGCTGTGTGTTGATAGCAGTGAAATGCAATAGTGCAATGCTTTTAAGTTATGAATTGGTGATCTGACTTGATGCTCACTTTAGTGCAGATCACCCAAATAAATGCAGAAGCTTCTTGTCACTTTTACTCTGTTACCCTATGTGGGCAATTGATGTTTTGAAACTTACCTTTGAAACAAACAACCAACCCTTCTGCGCTGACAACTATTGACAGATTTAACTACAAGCTAATGTTGCAACTGACAGATATTCCTGTAAGTATGACTGCTGCCTTTTTCCTTTTCCTTTGAAAGAAAGATGGTTTTGAAGAAGTAAGAAGACTGTAGTATTGAACCTTTTTCTGCAGAACAGCTACAGCTATGGAAATAAGCAGTGTGACTGCTCAGTTGTTAAGATCATTCTCTGCTGCTTTCAGCCACCATTTTTTTAAGTGACAGGATGCTTGGCATGCTCCCTGCTAGTTTTGTGAGGAAGCTCCCTGCTTGCTTCTTAACAGCAGGCTACTGTTTTCCATTATGATTCTTGATGTGGACCTTTGTCCTTTAGGGACAAGTTAAAATGCAAACTGACAGTTTCTGTGGTGTGGTGGCCTTTGGTATAGTAAATAATATTATATATTAGAATTTTGAAAATAGTTTATACGTATTTTGGCTTTATGTAGCAAGGTTCT